ACGTCGAATTTCCAGGTCCCGACGGCACCCTTGAGTTAAAGCGTTCGCTAAATATGTGTTTTCCTGAGTCTCTTCGGCAAATCAATTCCGCTGCCCCAAGTCCGACCAAAACCTCCGCCCCGGGTTTTTGGGATAGCGAGGTCTCGACACGCCTTCAGTCAGCTCTTGCTATAACTTCTATTTCACCGCAAGAGGGCGAGCTCGTCGACACTCAAGACGTTCCTACGATTAGGGTTGCCAAGCCTCGGTCGCCAGACAGAGCAACGCGTATCGACAGTCCGACTCCAGAGAGAGGCCAGGATTCCACTGACAATCTCGAAGATGATTTCGAGTTACCGGCGGATGACATCCTGCTCCGGCTCTCCCCTAGAAAGACAGCCGTGGAAACAGCCGGTCCTACTCCCGATGATATCGACGTAGATTGGTCAGAAGGCAGTATTGGAGTCCGGTTCGGGGGTACCGCAAGGGATCAGCCATCAATTCCAAGCTCTTCCGTTTCCGTTGTCAGCCCAAGTTCATCGAGCTGTCTCACGGTTGAGAGTGAAGATGAAGGCCTTGATGGCCTCGTCATCCCAGAAGGCCCGCTTGATTTTGAAGCGTCCTTAAGGAAGCGGAAAGAATCGCCCAGCGATGACGTACGGTTGGAACGGCGTTCAGTTAATCAAACGCCAGTCCTTACTGACGACTTCTTCTCGGGCCTTGAAGTCAACAATGGAGAAGTATTCAATCCTCGCAGGCTGTCGATAAACCCCAACGTCAAGTGCAAAACGGAAATTCCCAAAAGTCCTGCGCGGCACTCAACAACTACAATCACGTTCACGAACACGGCGGTTTCCCCAAAGACTCGAATTCCTCGCCTTTCAGGACACGACCGTCCTCATTCAACCCATCTCGAGACTGTGTCGGAGAGCGGTGCTCCTCTGTCAAGATTTCGGTCATCACAACGCCGGGCTGGGGGTCATTCGTCACAGTCTTCCGTCTCCAGCCTTCCTGGGTCTTCCACATCTCAAATACCGTCAACCCCTAGTCGACGGCTCATAGGCGCTGGTGTATCGAATGATAGCTTTGCTAGTGAACGTATAACTTCGGGAAGGCAACTACTGAGGACCAAGCGCTCAATGCCAACATTACGAAATACACATCAGACTATCTCAAATATTCAAAGTCTGCCTACACTACAAGATGGTTCGGACGTGCCTAAATACTACGCCACCCGACCGAAAACTCCTGTTGACCGGATAGGAAGTGATACGAAGACTTTCGCTCGTAAACCTCAGGCACCATTTCTTCCTGCCGGTGCCTCGGATAAGCAGTCGCATCATGCCAGTGTCAAAAGTTCTCGATACAATCGTCGGTCCAGTTCAGATAGTCCCAATGATGCATCAAATCCCCAAGGACATGGAACCCGACTGCCGCGATCTACTCGCCATGATACTATGGGTAAGACTCTCAATGAGTCTAGTCCGGAGGCATTGGTTGCTGCAAGCAAAAGAACACTTACGCGACCTACTCGACGGCGTAATTTTGGTGATGGTTCTGAATTGGCACTATTTGACGACCTGCCCACATCTTCTTCAGCAGAGAGAAAATTCGTGAAGCATCCTTCGGGGCGAGGTGTTCCGAGGACACTTAGAAGTAAATTAAACCACGGCCAGTCTAATACAGCAAAGGCAGATGCCACAATCGAACAAGCCACCCCAAGCGCTACAATCAGGCTAAACAGTGTCACGCCAAGATTCGCACGGGACACGAACGCTTCGAGGAACGCAAGAGAACAGCGCATTGCATCGTTAACGAATACGCCAAAGAACCGCGACAATCACCCGCTTGCTCCTCTTGGAATGAATTGGAAGCCCGCGAATGTGTCGCGGGTGCCTTCGAACTCGGCAACTATCCGGAGCAGGAAAAGCAAAGCTGCGCCAGTGCCTGTCTCCAAACCACAACTGATCAAACCCATGGGTACGGGTGTGCAAGAGCCCAAATGTAAGTTCAGCTTCGGTAAATGATGGGGAATGTGCTGACACCCTTAGCTCTTAATGGCATGCGTTATAACCCTAGTTCCTTTTGCTGGGAAGGCAATGAAAATATAGTCCAAGACTTTGACACTATGTCCCCCAAGTCACCAAAGCCGACCCCTGCTCTAATCACGAATATAGGCGCGATGAAGAATGTGCAGGTCGTCGGTGGAATGGTGTTTGATCCACAACGTATGTGCTGGCTCAAGTTGGCGCCATTACAGCCGGGGAAGGATGGGCTGGTTGCTATTCAAGACGAAGACGATGTCTTTGCAGGTCTAGACGACCTAAAAGAGCCGTCCAATACCGCGGGGGGACGAATTTCGGGCGCCTATGATGAGTTCGGTCTCGCGGCCAGCATTGATGACCGCAGCTACGAAGATTCATCGGACGAATGGCCCATAACGGAAGAGTTTGACGTGGGCCCGGAGTTCATCAGGCGCCAGCGTGCGGAAGAAGAGAAGTGGAGGCGCAAGGTCGATAAATGGACCACTCATGATCGTGGGAGGTTCGGGGACGGTTGGAGATGGGCTATTCGGGATCTGGTGAGATTCAATAATAGCACGCTCAGCACACAGCACCTTGACCGCACATGACTCGGTCGCGAGTGGCGCTTCCAAGAACAGGGGGGCTAAGGCACTATGAAGTGGTAAAAGGCCACTGCTGTTGCATTGAAGCAGCTCCTATTGGCCTATGCAATCCAACCCTGCTGCCAGCTTTCGATGGCAAGTGGTGATGAAATGGGAAGACTCATGATTATTCTACGAGACTATGACTTAAAGAGGTGCGATTTGCTTTGCTTTTTACGAACCGATTGTTTTATGTAACTTATTACCACGCCATTGATGGACAGATGACTTTTTCAGGGATGTATAATAACTGATCATTTTTATGTGAACCCAACTGTAAATGATAGGAGGAATCCAGGAATGAATCCTTAATTCGAAAGCAGTCAGCTACTGCCCGGGGTGCTTGGTCCTAGGATCTTGTAGAACAAACACATAAAGTCTAGACTCCATGATCATGGTAACGCCTCGCTTTTCTGTAAGATTTGAATTGTCGAGGTCAGTAGTATCATATGCTTGCCACATCCACCGAGAGATATATTTGCGGTTCCGTAATTGTGGTTGTGGTCAGCATGGCTGTTAATAAATACTTTACAATACCTACTAGGTACGTGGGCTGGGCTTTCTGCTTGGCGTGTTAGGGCTGGGCAAAGTGAGGCAGACAGAGAGACTCTCTTTCTTGGAGCAATTCATTCCGCATGTTCACGAAATCCAACTCTTCTGCACTACACCATTTTCCATGTTGTGAATTGAGCAAAGATCATTATCCCAAACCCTCAGGGCTGCATACTTGTCCGGAGCTCCTAACTAGAATTTGTAGCACAGCCCTAGAATCCAGCCTCGACCAAGACGTACCAGTTGCGATCACAGCTACTACCTGGTAAGATTTCCCCCTCGCGTCGGGAACTAATCTACATTTCTTACTAGATCATAAGCTTCCCTTTCCGATGGGCCTGACATCTCAATCATGATACAAAGGCTCTTCGGCCCCAGGGCCCCCCGCATCCCCGGGAGTTCCGGATTGTTCGTATGTAGTAAGTAGCGCTTGCCCTAAGCCAGCAATAACACAACCTGCAAGATCATGAGATTCGAGTTGTCAGATTTTGTCCGAAAACAGCTACTGCTTTATTGGTGGGGTCGGTTACTGCTTCCCAGCGTTACTGACCCTTTGCAGGCAGTGAGCAGACATACCGTGCATCTAGCAGCGCACACCCCTGCATAGATGGTAAGAGACCCAGATGATCATCCATCAGCCTAGCCAGCGACGCATAGATCTACGTGGACAAGACCCGGCATAGAAAGACGTCGTATTTAGCAAGAATTCTGCGTCATCAACTTCTGTGACTTGGAGGATATGGTCTTAGTTCCTAGGTCCTGTGTCGTCCACATGAACAGCATTCAGTATCGACTTTTCGCAACCCAGGCAAACAAGGGAACGATCAGGTTTTCAATGTTGCTTTACTTAGTAGATCTATGGGGGCAACTAATAGATAAGGTATCGTAGTCTGAGTTCAATACGCCACCGTCCAGCCTGAGACTGGAGTGCTGTTCCCCAGAAAATTTCTTCCACCGGGGGAGTGAATGTGCCAGAATACCCATCCTAATACTCATAATTAATTGCGTCGTCAATTTTCCCAGTTCGGAATACCAACGGATCATTGGAGATTTTGCATGGGTAAATTTCCAGCCCTCTCTCTTCGACTGTGCAGCTTTTGGTCCTCTCCTGAGACAGTGAGATGACTTGCAGGCTCTGAGCCATGTATACCAACGCACCGTAGAAGCCAAGACGCATATTATTCGTGAAGAGGATGCTCCTTTGCTGACAATTCAGGTACTTTGAGTCAGCATGAGAGACTCCAAACTGCCATCAGGGTACGGAAGGCAGAGGGAAGGGAGCTTGTTCACTTTCATCGATACAAGGCGAAGCAGATAGTAAAAGGCTGTCCACTTGAGTGTAAAGCGGGCTAAAGAAGCGAAACAGGGCTAATGTGGTTTTTCAGCAGGAAATATGATCACTTGAACCACAGTAATAAAGGCCATGGTGATGACTAGTAGCGATATTCTCACTCTCAGTTCAGTAGTTATAGAACGTGGATGGTCTTTAGTCTCTGTGTATGGATCAATAACATCATGTAAATCACAACACACATATAAGAACCAATTCTCTCAAAAGGTATTGCCTATTCAGGAAGTTGCTACACAGCAGATCAGGAAATGAAATTAAGGAAAAATGGTTGGCAGCAGCATCTAAGTACCACTATGTGAATAATACCTCTCCAAGCCAAAGTATTATCTTTTGGCCTGACTTCACATACAGTTCCATGTACTGGGCCCGTGCCTAATACCATATGTAGCCTTCGCATGCCGTTTAATCCCCCAGAAAGCCGGGATTACCCAGTAGTAGTAAGCGTACATATATTCAAATCTGGAAGCAGTCAGCTACTAACTTTCTCGAACTAGCGTATTCTGACCTCTTACTGTATGTACATGGGGCTAAGGCAGTTATAAGTTCAGTGGCGGCGTCTACAGGCTGTATGTAAGCTTCATGGGTACAGGCTTCAGGGTATATCCCTGCTTGTTTGCGCCATCGTAAGACAACGAGTAACCCCGGTTCAAGTAGGCATTTGATTAAAGACTGGGTAAGGACAAGGAGCAATGACTGAAGCGGGTCTGCTCCCTGCACAATGGCCATTGGTGCTAGGCATGGTTAGCAGACGGATGGAACGCTCGCAAAGGCTAAGCATCCATTTCTTGAGGAGAAGGGGGAAGGAAATGCAACCCTCACTAGTCTAGAATTCTCAACCAAAAGAACAGAATATCATATACAATGTCGACACCCGAAAGGGTCACACAAATTATCGAATTTCAAACTGAGTGAAGACAGAATTTCATGCTGTCAAGTCTGGATACTTGCATTGGGGGTAGATAGAGGAGACGCGTACATAATACGAGCTACATGGTGTAGTGTAAAGGACAGTTCTCACCTATCTTGCTTACCTTCAGGGGGTATTGACCTTGTGGCGATAACAAACCTACTCCTGGTTCCGTCCTCAGTACTTCCTTTCGCATGGTGATGCCGAGTCAGGCCGGGCTGGTATTGATTAGAGAAAGTATGTATCTGTATCTAGGGAAAAATCGGATCTCTGACTGGTAGTGCTTGCTCTATGCTTCTGATGAATTCAGCATCATGTTTGGTTTGGCTTGCAGCACACCTGAATAGGGTTAATGGATGGAATTAACGATCCTGCTCATGTGACTACTACTAGTAGACATGTTTGATTGACGCCATGCACCGACTTCTTCTGATCGGGCTTCTCTCTTCAACGGCATGGTGATCACAGTACACTCTTCTGTGTGTTAGACAGCGCTGATACCTGCCTATTCACCTGCCTCCAACGGTTTTCTGTTTATCCTCCCTCCTCTTTTTCCTTTTTCATTTATTTTTCTGTACTTTTACCTCCCCGCTAAGATAGTCCCTACTGAGATAGTATTTGCAGGTAGGCGACCTACATCAGTTCATTTTGGTTTGTCCACAAGTTTCCAAAAGTAGTTAGGTATGTGTCCCAGCTTGGACCTAGCCACGGTCACCAGTTATACACCCATTGGCCACCGGTGAACTGAAGTTTGAACGACAATCGTGGTTATTGCAAGCCCCAAACACATTCGCCTCTTCTTTGGAGCTTTGGTGCTAGTTTGTTGTCTCTTCCAGTCCCGCTTTTTTTTTTTCTTTTTTTCTCCTGCCTGCCTTTGCTATTATTCAGCTTCTGGCAATCAGTTTCTTAGAAACAACCTGTGTACGAATAATGTATAGAGGTGCTGTTCTCCAGTTAGTCAGGCTCCTGCATACCTACATTGTTTTACTTATAAGCGCCCGAAATCTGGGCATCGCCCATTCGGCGTATCATGTTTCAAAAGGGGTTTCGGTGTTAAGCAGTTAGTCGCCAGCTCATACATACATTAACACGCCTACAAGGGGGTAGGCACTTACCCAGGTATCTACCTACCCTCGTATCTGGCGGTTACTCAACAAGAAAAAGCAAAGGAGACTTCGCAAGACGAAGAAACAGCAAAATGGTTTCAAGAATTGCCAAGTGTCACCCAATCGAGTGCCGATGATGGCGACGATGCTGGCGGCGCCAGCGGCGACGATGTTAGTGATGACGTTGTCCTCATTATCCGCGACAATTCAGAGAGGTATCTGGAAGGCAGCCAATTAGCCTAGACAAGTGATTTGCGGCCTAACACTGAGAAGGACCAGCACAGCCACTCTGCGATATTCTCTACCTACCTCATGGCCATGTCTACTTTGGACATCGGTGACGTCTTCTATCATGATGGTTCGGCAATGCATCAGTTATATTTGCACATGAAACCAGGTGTCGATCACTGAGATACCATTCAATTCCTTGCCTCCATAAACCAGATGCAGCATCTGTACATCCATTTTCGTCCTACATGTGGTTGCGTACTGCAGGAGTTGTTCCAACTGCTCCATTAGCTGTAATATGGCTGGCAACTGTAAAGCTTCTGTCTCCATCATACGGTAGCTCATCATTTGAGGCCAGGATCGTGTATGGAATGGAAGCAGCACTAACGGGGGGCACATTGTTTTTCACTTAGATTAAGGTCTCCAGCTACGGGCAAGATATCCCTGTTCGAACTCTGGAGCTCTACTTATGCTGATCTTATGCTGACATCAAACCGACGCCTTGTCTGACGCAGATATAAGCCTGTTCAATCTGCCGAACAGTATACTCAAAGAGAGGCAAACGATCTCACGTTTCTGGTATCTGCCGGTTTGTAGCTATCATCATTACTTGAATTATTTTCACTCACTCTTATTCTGTTTCTGTTTCTGTTTCTTTTCATTTCAGTCATCAATTAACTCATATATTTTGCATTCTGCGCAACCTGGCCATGCCTCTCAATTACCTCGGACATCAATAGATATGCATCTTCTCTCTTCTGTTGCCTAGATACAATTCGTGAATAATATTGTCATTTACCCAACTGATATTCCAGCGTTCCTTTTCTTTTTCTTTGATCGCTTTGTGTCTCATATTTTCCGTCTTTTTTTTTTGGCTCGAAAATCTCTTTTTCCAAATTTCTTTTTTCCCTTTCCATACCCCTCACCTTTGCGTTATGATGCCTGATCCCTGTCGGTTCCACAGCTGTTAGCCACTGCTTTCCTTCTCATTCCCTCTTATCGAATCTTCTCCTACCATGATCTTGCAGTGGGGCTGTTCTCGTGGATGAATCCAAAATACCCCATTACCGTTTTCTCCCATGCTCCCTTACATTTATATTTCATTCTGCAGCTCGCTTCCTCTATCCTGGCCGCCCTCTGTGCATATGCAGAGTACACATGCCTGGAGAAAGAAGCAATCTACAAAGTTCAAGGATTATTTGGTCTTTCTTAGTTGCGGCAAGATTGCAGAATGGTTAACCTTGCACCCCTGTCAAATATTTTGCCTTGGTCTTGTACATATCGTACCAGCACATCCTATACGGACCGTACTGAGGCTTCCTGGAGGGTCTGGTCAAAGCTCTGTCTGCTTCACCTTTTAACTGCCACTTTGTACCCACTTTTGCTTGACATATTTGGCCCTACTTTCCTACAATTGTCAGGTCACAGTAGTCTGCCAGGCTATCGAACTTCCCGAGCATCTTCCCTCTCTGTCTTGATTAGTCCTCCCTGTTCCCTTAACCCTAATTCGGAGCAACAAGATTCCTTTATCTGGTCTCTCACGTTGGGCTCCATACGATTGCAAGGGTAGCGAACGCAGAAAGACTGCTTCACTTCCCAAGACGACTCCATTAGGAGCCCAGTCATACGGTCCTTCTCCGAGTGTAACTGCAATCCAAGATTCTTTTCCCATCTAAAGGAATTATAAGTGTCTCTCTGGGCTTTTGGCAGACCTGTTCAGCATGAGTGGTTACCCAAGGCGCAACAATCACGATGGCTCTGATAGCTACATCGTGAACCACCAGCTTGCCTTACCTGTTCCATACAGTCACGGGGACAGTCACGACTTTGGGGTAAATGATACAGGATCGTATCCTTTCCAGCAGCAACCATTCAGTACTTATGCGTCACATTTTGGTTCACCCTATAGTCATTCTGGCATCACATCCAGCACGCACCATCTGTCACCACATCAGTCACCGGGCCATTCGGTCCCGTCAACTCCAGATCATGTACCTCTTCAGCATCATATCCAGTATATGCCACAGTCACGTTACCTCCAGTCACCAGGGTTTCTCCCGCTTCGTGATGCATTCAGCGAAGCAGATATTGAAAGCCAGGATTCGCAGAATGAAAGTTCTATGCTATCAGAGCCAGTCATCCCTCCACTGGACGGCTTTCCTAATGTAAGGGAGTTTGATCAGTTGATGAAAAGGTAGGATGAACCCCGTTTACTTTTGACTCACGTTATATGCATGCTCAAATATTTGACAGCTATGTCGACGACCTTTCCGTCAAAAAGCAGGATAAGGCTTTAATCCACGCCAAAAGAGCACGGAACATCAAGACTGTACTGATGGACCCCAAAGACACGGCTGTGGAATCAGCCCAATTCCGGTAATTCGCCCCATTGCAAGCGATATAGACTCACTTCACTTGAGGCTAAAGTTTATGTTAATCTAGATTCTGGGTAAAGAAAATGTTCAAGCTCCAAACAGTCGGCACCGGCACATCAGATGTTCGTCTACAATCCAAACTATTTAGGACCTTGGGTGCTAACCTTGAGTGTGATTTTCAAGTGCACGAAAATGATTTGCCATGAGGGAAAACCAGTGGCTATTCGAGAGAAACTTTTCAAAATACTCACTAGAGCACATCAACAATGCCAACACGGAGGCAGAGACAAAACATCAGCTCGAGTTAGACAAATCTATTCATGGTAAGCTCGCATCCCCAACTCAATTCTCGATCCTGGTGAGATCAGAGAAACCGCATCTTTTCCTCTTTACTCCTATCACACACACTTTGAGATCTTCTCTTCCCCCTGCATTCTCTCTTCTTGCTCATTCTCTCTACTCAGCCTCAGCAAGTCCCAAGTTAATCATTAGTCCAGGGTTCCAAAGGAGCTTATCTCACGCTTTGTCAAGATATGTCCGACCTGCCAAGTGCGTCGAGGAGGCCCGCGCTTGACACCTCCTAGTTCAAGGAGAAGCTCACCTCGCCTAGAGGTACTATCCCGTTCACCAAAGCTACCATCACCGCCTATGTCAAGACGTGATTCAACCTTGAATGGACAGCTTGTCCTGGAGAGACCGCAGTCGGACTACTTTACCCAACTTAGCAGCCATGGCACTTGGCTAGACAGCCAACGATCTCTACAGGAGAGGCAGGCCATCAGTGCAGGTCATGTACGATCCTTCAATGGGGGAACGATGGGCCATCTGCCAGGTACACTCCCAGGCACCCTAGATTCGTTTCATGGAGATATGCCAGTATCGTCATCCCAAGTTAGCTACAATGCGGGCTATCCTTCCACGCACGGGCCGTCCGGCCATAGGGACTACTAGAGGGTGGTAAATTACAATAGTATCTGTTGTATGAACAAGTGGGCTAAGCCATGCAACTGGATACTTAATATGGGATGGTGGTATAGCACGTCTCGACTGTCTCCTGATCGCCACCTACACAATCATTAATACGAGCTTCTTTAGTCTTCATAGCACTGTCCATCATTTTCTTACTTCCCAATGAACATTCTTATTGGATCTGAAACGCGCGCCATACGTATCTAATGCTGGGGATTCGCCATCGCTACATTCACTCAACATCAGTGTCACCATGGTTGTCTGTGAGAGTATGGAAAATGCATTATTTTAGGCTAAATCGTCCTCCCGACTATAATAATTAGAATGCTACATGACCTGTCCTCTTCGCATGGGTCGGGTAAGCCTATAGCGCGTACCGACCAAGATTAGTTGCGTGAATATTTGCTACTTCATAAAAGTACCTGTCGCTGGACAACAGTTAACATTCAGTGGTAGCTAGACATATATTTCCCTCCAACTTTCCGCGGAATTGCACGGTTGACCATCCTCCTCGGAACTCGCAATACCGTTTATGACGAAACCAGTCACCATGTACGCCGAACTTAAACAGGCAATGAGAACTTCTTGCCCTTCATAACCCTGTATGACAGTTAGCCTCGCCCCGAGAACTCATAGAGGAAGCCTGTTCGCGCTCACTTGGTGTAGTAGATATAAAAGAAATCCGAATATAATAGTGTCTGGACGATACCAGCTACGACAGGGATGGGTTGAAAGTGACTCTCTGCAAAATAGCGATAGATCCAATTAGGGATGTAAAGGGCGCGATACAATCCCAAAGCGAAAAGGTAATGTGTCGTTATGGTGTCTGCCTCCCCAGTGCGCTGAAGCATAAAAAGTTGGGGCAAGATAGCCACGGACTCGAGCCATATAGAGAACGTCCAGAGAATCTAGTAAGGTCAGATAAAGTGTGACATAAAATCCTTCCAGGGGAAATACCTCTGATACGCTATAATCATGCGGGAAAAGGAGCGCCAATAGAGCACTAAACCCTAGGAGATACTGCACTTTGAAGGTATCAGTATTGGGGTCATGCGTTGGCTTGTAGTCGTTGAGCATGAGGTAAATGATGTAAGCCGACGAGCCGATGAACAAGATTTTGAAAGTCGTGTTGTAAAAGGAGTCCGTGAAAGCCCAGAACAAATCTGTAACAGAAGTCCGTCAGAGAATTATGCCTATATAATCGAGTGCTGAGGCTCCGAAGCTTACCAAGATAACGCGTTACAAAAACCATTAAATATAGCGCCTGGGACTTGAATGAAAGTCCTGAACAACTCTATATCCAGTCAGAAAAGGCTAAGAAACAATTGTGATGACAACATACACTTGAAGACTTCATCTTCTGTAATAGTATGAATATGGACGCGAGGTGAGAAAAGTCGGCTTGATTGCATTGATCAGCAAGGCGCGTCAATTCCACTGAGAGCGAACGGACAAGACTCACCTAATAACCTGAAGATATTCATGATGGCGAATTAAGTCAAATCACCTTAACCTCAGGTACGTATTGCAGATTATCAAATGCTTGTTCAGTCCAATAGAGGGGTATCAATAGAAATCGGCCATGGGAGTGCTTATGACGAAGCTAGACCTCCTATGTTATATGCAATTGTTCTGCTAGCAGTACTGAAATATGCTTAGATGTTGACACGAAGCCTCAAGTGTATGCGCCACAGGGAGCGCCCCACATCATGTGTGATGCCGTAATACAAATATAGCCAGCCACCAACAGGGACAGCGGGCAGGGTCCACGGTACCTGGCTACCTGCAGCAGCAGCTAACTACTTTGATCTTGATCTGTCTTAGCTAACCGAACACCTGCCCCATGTGAATCAATTCTAACTATATCAGGTAAGACAGAGTTCGCACTACCTTTACCTATACTCGGGGAGGGCCGAAAAGGACCAAAAAGGGATAAAAAACCAAAAGGAAAAAAAAGGGAAAAAAAAGGAAAAAAGGGAAAAAGGGGGGAAAAGGGAAAAAGAAGAAAAGAGATAGAAAAACACAGAGAGAGAGAGAGAGAGAGAGAGAGAGAGAGAGAGAAAGAACTGGGAATAAGAAAGAAAAACATTATGCTTTTAGATATATAGTAGAAAGTGCACACATGAAGCAACCATTACTCATTGGTGCATTTCTTGTAAACTATGCTCCACTGTCAGAAAGCTTCAAGTTTATAAATTGTCCTGTGAGATGAGGATCTTTGATAGAATAAGATACTGCGAATCACGAGATGTGCGCGAAAGCGAAAGTTATTATATGTTTTCTACTTGTTCTTCTATTTGAGACTGCAATGGCTGGTATGTCAATAATAATGTGCGACCTAATGTCAGAACATCGCACCAGCATGGACGCCTTCACCATCAGCTATTCGCTGTAAATGTCCTTCTGCCAGTTCACTCTTTAATGCACAAATAGAACTTTCCCTGTCAAGCCTATCCCAATCTCGAATCCCAGCTCGCCTCAGCTTCTGACTGTCCGCAATTTGTTCAAAGAGTCTGTCTTTGTCTGCTTCCAGTTGAGACAGGCGCTTTTCCAGGGCAATATCAAGTGCGGTTGGGATGATTTTGCCTTCGGGTATAATTTGGCGAAGGCCGGCAAGGTGACTAAGATGTCTCGGGAAACGAGGAGGGTAGGAAGGCCCGGTAACGCTACCTTGTCTGCTGGGATGAGAGCGGGGCAGCTCGACGCCGGGACCTGTTGACATAATACTACTGCGCGGACCAGTCGGTGGGGAACCGTGGAGTCCGGTAGACGCAGGCCCACGGCGGACTGGAGAGGCTGCCCAGGACGACTCCTTAAAACTTGGACCGCCGCGTGGCCGAGTTGGAGCTGACAGCAACGAAATATTTGACCCACGATTCTGCAACATTACTTTGGACCCATGCGATGGGCCAGATGGTGGTGTTTGACCTTGTAACATATGGCTGTATGCCTTTGGCTGTACTGGAACGTTGCGGGATTGGTATGTTTCTGGTTGGCCAGACGGTAATCGAGGGGCTTCAGGTACTCGTTGTTGGGACCTGACGCTTCCAAAATCCTGCCCATTGCCCATAGGTCGTTCAGGTGCTGGCGATCTATGCCTCGGTTCCTCGGGTGCAGGCTTGCGACTGACCGAACAGGCTCGCTCTTCTCGAGTGGATGACCGATCTGAAGTCCTTGAAAGACATCTAGGAGGGTTCTGATGAGTTGGCGACCGGCTTGGGGCATTGGATGAATTCATATTGAGTCTTTCGGTAAAAGGAGACGATCGTCTTGAATTCGGAAGTGAGCCAGATGCGGAGGTACGCATAGGTGATGCGCCCTTAGGGGATACTGATCGCCGCTTCTTGTTAAATGGAATGTCCAGGTGGCGTTCCCTGCGTCCTCCATGAAAAGGGCTTCTGGATCTATGGGGAAGTGGTGCACGGTTGCCACTATCACGGAATGGAATGTCAGGCTTTGTATATATGTCGCCAGGAGGTTGATTCCGCTCTCGCCTAGAAAATCTGTAGTCATGACTGCGCGGTGAAATATCCCGGGGGCGTTTGTGGTTACTCCGATTCCATGAGATATCACGCTGGCGGCTCTCGCCATAGGGAGACCTTGAGCGCCACGAGGCCTGGTGAGGCGACCGATTTCGCACCTCACCTCGTCTGGGCGAGAACCGCCTCGGCGATGGACACGGCTTTGAAAAGGTGCCCATTCCAACTTCCCCCCTGTAGAACGATGGACTGCGTGAGAGGCGACGTCTTGGAGCCGGTGGTGAGCGACTACGCACACGGCCATAAGTCCGACCATGTGATGGTACCCATGTATCTGCAACAAGACGAGGAGAGTGAACTCGCGGGGGGGATCTGCTGCGTCGTATATAAGCGCGAGGAGCACCAGGACGGTAACTCTCTCCGCCACGGAGATCATCAAATCTATTCGCGGTCATCTTCTTAGCCACTACCAAGACGAGGGGATGGGGGATTGCTCGAACCAACCTTCTACTGCGATCCCAATCCATCTTTTTCCGTATCGTCAAAAGTATGATCCTGCGCACTCGGTATTTACACTTGATTCAGGCTGTCGGTTCAGTTTATGCTCATTTTGAAATGGAGATTGGTACATGCTGTACGGAACAGTCCGGATTCCATCAATGTACAGCGTTGTAACGGGTATTTAGTATCACGTGCTTTCCAAAGTCTCACCATTGGGCACGGGGACAGGTGCTATGCTTCGTAGCGCATGAGACCTTTAGTCTTCATTGTTTATTGTACGGAGATCACAGACAAAGCCCCGGTGTTTGGTTCTTCACCGGGGATCTTCGATCATTACATATGATGTGATATTGTCTACCAGCTTGGCCTTATGAGCCTATCGCAAATAAATAACTTCTTTGACTATGAAGTCAATGTCCACCAAAATGTCAGTTTTTCGAGGTTTCAATGTTGGTGAACATTGCAGTTTTCGAAACCAAACTGTAACGTTCCGGTGGTCAAGGCAACTCCGGCCACTAGAGCAAATTCATGAATAATATCAGTGCAAGAAAGCTACAAAACCAATACCTAAATCAAGTTGGATAGTCATGCTCGATTTAACAACAAAGGCTGATTGAGATACATTATCTTTGTGCTAGATGTGCTTTCTTAATTTCCATGATCTTTTCGATTAGAGGTTCATTTGACAATGCCTGCTCGGCCGCCTCATTTCCTGCAATTGCTTTATTAGAACCCTGACCAGAGCCAAGGTGCTTATGGTTCCAACCCCAACCAGTGAGATATACTCCGATAAAATACGTCTGCAACCCCCTGCCGCGCTGAGCAGGAGGCCGTTCATCGATGTAATTAAGTTTAATCCCCTTGCCCATGATTTTCTTCGCAAGTGCTTCTTTGGCATGCAAGGAGGACTTCGGCTTTCCAAGCTTTTCAAGCTCCGGAGACCACAACTGTCTTAGCCATTTCTCAGCCACACGATAACCATTGCTTGTATCTGACAGGACAACGGCAGCTACATAAGCCTCAAAGATGTCCGCCTTGGTTTTGAGCCATCTTTTGGGTTGCTTTTGGTAGTCCGGGGGTACGGAAACTCTGCTGTCGAGTCCGTACTTAGACGCATAATCAGACAAGGTCTCATTCTTGACAAGTCTCTCTCGGATCTGTGATATTCGACCGGAAGGAATATCCTGGAATGTGTCCCAGATGAGCTTTGTCGAGATAAGTTCTATATATGCATCTCCGAGAACCTCCAGCCGATCATAAGTAGCTCCGATGTTGCTGCTCACACCTGGGTGAGTGAAGACTGCCCTCTCAAGCACGTCATCCAATATTGGAGGTAACGGGGGCAAGCAAGACTCCATTTTTGCTTCGGATGTCTCTAGCGGCAGTGTCACATCCTGAGAGCATTTTGTAGTAGACGTAATGGCACCTGCTGCGCGCTGTAATGCACCGTCGAGCTCAGTGGCTGCAGTCAAGATATCGGCGTCGGTCTGAAATCCGCGGCTTTGAGAGATGCCTTGGCTCTGTATTATATCCTGAAGCAATGTTCTCAGAAGCACGACATTATTCTCTTTGCTTTGCGGGCTGTGCGCGGAGGGGATTGATTCTTTCGCAAGCTGCAAGTCATCATCGTACTTCGGTAGTGTTAGTGCAAGCCGGGGCACACGAAAGTATATGTTCACCTTTGCTTTCTTTTTTTCGCTATTGGAAGGTAGTGAAAACACTGATTTTCGTTTCGAACACATGATGGTCATGGCGTGAACGATCATAATTCATACATAGAACTAGACTCAGATGCCAAAGTATGGACAATGGGTTATCACGTGATAAGGTTGGTAGTTGTATCTGAACAGAAACTCCGCCATCGCTACCCTAACAGTATCCATCCGAACACGCCGTGTCGACAATGGCAGCGCCGTACAGCAGACTGCTTGATCTGGTCAAGGTATTTAACAGAGCGCAGCTTAGCTGGGATAATCCCTTGTCTGGCTTTTTTTCCCCTTCCAGGCTAATCCGTATCACCCCGGCCAGGTCCAATGTCGGATCTTCTCGCTGAACTTCAACCCCGAAAGAGCGCGATTGGGAAACAAGATTCTACGACAGCGCCTGCGTGGCCCGGCGCTGGCAGCATGGTACCCGAGAAAGACGGTCTCGTTTCGTGATTTGCAAGACACATACAGCCGCTCAGGTCTAACAATGTTCGATGAGGCTGAGGATGATCGTGAGGAAGCAATTCAAATGTATGTTGCTTAGGAGTCTTTCTTCTAGCATATGCTTATTGACCTGTGATAGTGCGAAGTTACGAGGGAAGGGTCGACCCAAAAAGAAAAGAACGGCTGCAGGTAAGGTTCAAAAATCAAGAACAGTTTGCGCGCAATTGTTTAACTTGTGAACATAGAATCGCGATCAGCAAAAAAGAAGAAATAGATTCCTTATGGCAAATGAGGTTGAACTATCAGTTCTATTGCAAGGGATTGTCCACCATGCTGTGCATTATGGCCTAAAACCAAGCTGTTGGTTTATCGCTCCCTTTAAGCTTATCCGGTTTGACGTATTTTTTATCACTGTTTGTTCTCCCTTGTTTATTCATTACCTTCGGGGTCTGTATAGTATAAGATATAGAAAATTCGAACATGACAACAATCTGATGTGTTGTATTTTAGCTAAAAGCAGTTGTTGCCAGACCATCGAGTAGATTATCGAAGAAAGAGCTAGTCATAGGTACATTTCACAATGTCATTTGTAAAGAAATAGGATTTCCATGACGACCTATTAGCACTTGGTCGATCGGACGGGAGTTGAAGGGACCAATCAATGGAGGGAGCCGGTGGTGATGAGATCACATGACTGGACCAGAATGCCGCTAAATGGGACTCTTATCATAGTGGCCTAGATAGTGCAGAGATCCCAGGAGGCTTATAGTAACATCTACAACGGAACCCACGATCTTGCACTACTCCTCGTCGCTCTTTCTCCTAAGAATACAACTCTTGAGCTGGGCCCAATCCATTCCAGGAAATTAGGGTGCATCTAAGCTGAGCACATTGCAAGCACAGGCGTTATATAAGGTGAAGCTTTCGCGAGGAAAATGGGCAAGAACCAGTTGAGGCGGGCTAGGAAAAAGGCTCTTAAATCACAGGTATGATCTGTGCAATGCTTTATTGGAGAATTACTCACTTTTTGCATCAGGCGACTGAGACGTCCTCAAACACACCCCATGCGCAGGCCCAGGTCGATGAAAACATATCGCCAAGTATCTCCAAGGCTGCTAGTACAGAGCTACAAATCACGGTGTTCCCGGATTCTGCCGATCCACTATGGCAGATGTATAAGGATATCGTTGACAAATTTGAAGAACCCGAAGATGAAAAATCGAGTTTGAAGGAGCCTCCAAAACCAGAAATCTACTTTGACGATGATAATGAAATACCGGATGAGGAGGAGAAAGAATCTTCTATATCGAAACGGAAGCGAAAGGAATTAAACAAGCTTTCTGTCGCCGAACTGAAAGCGATGGTCCGAAGGCCTGAAATAGTCGAATGGACGGATACATCAGCCCCTGATCCTCGGTTGCTTGTCCATTTAAAGGCACAACGCAATGTTGTCCCCGTACCCTCGCATTGGAATCTGAAACGGGAATACCTGTCTTCCAAGAGAGGTATAGAGAAGCCACCATTTGCTCTTCCCAAGTTCATCCAGGAAACCGGAATCTCAGAGATGCGCGATGCTGCATTGGAGAAACAGGAGCAGGCAACGTTGAAACAGAAACAGAGGGAGCGAGTTCAGCCGAAAATGGGAAGATTGGACATTGATTATCAAAAACTATACGAGGCATTTTTCCGGTTCCAGACTAAGCCTGAGCTTACGCGGTATGGCGAAGTCTATTACGAGGGCAAAGAATACGAGACCAATCTTAGACACCTCCGGCCGGGTGAGTTGAGTGCTGAGCTGAAAGAGGCGCTTAATATGCCACCTGGCGCCCCTCCTCCTTGGTTAATCAATCAACAACGATACGGCCCGCCCCCTTCTTACCCGGCTCTGAAGATTCCAGGTCTCAATGCCCCTCCGCCCCCTGGCGCTATGTGGGGATATCATCCTGGAGGTTATGGAAAGCCTCCAGTCGATGAGCACAACAGACCTTTGTACGGTGGCGACATATTCGGTGTGCTACAACCTCAGCAATCCGTGCAGCAGGGCGAACCCGTTGAAAAAGACCTTTGGGGAGAACTGCAAGAACCAGATATCTCAGAGGATGAAAGCGAGGAAGAGGAGGAAGCAGACAGTGCAGATGATGATGATGATGATGTCGATGACGTTGAGGCAGGAGTGCAGACCCCAAGTGGATTAGAAACCCCCAGTGGGTTGGCTTCTGCTGTTCCATCTGAGATGACGGGTCCCGAGAATATTGCTGGTGAGTTCGACGTACGAAAGCACTATCGGGGAACTCAGACCGAAGAGTCGGTGGGCCAAAGAAGCGCTTTTCAAGTCATCCCAGAGAGACAGACGCAAGTACAGGGGTTTTTCGGTGCTGATAGGGCATATGACCTTGGTGCATCCTCGAACACTCTGCCTGTGCTCGGCTCTGATGACAGTGGCAAGAAACGTAAAAGGCCTGGAGACGTTGACGTATCTGTTGATCCCGATGCATTGCACGCGAACGATGGCATTGATCGAGAGGATATAAAAAGGTTATACGATTCCCAGAAAAAGCAAAGCAATCCAGGCTGGGATTTTCAGGAGGATCTTAGCGACATGATTGCGCATGAGAGCCGAAAGAGGCTGAAATAGGCAGATGAATAAATAGCCATACTTCTTCCTGCTAATACTACTATTTGGACAGCTACCGGTTCTTTTCCATGGCTACTGCTTCAAATAGGTGTGTCATTCTCATGTGTTGAGGGGCGTTTACCATCATTTTGGTTGATCGGTGGGCTAATTAGTTAATTCATACACACCTATGTTGGCCCCAACGGCAACTTATACAATGACATATGTCTAAAGGATTACCTGATGGCCTCCTCCACTCTTCCGTCACTTCTCTGTGGATGAAACAGCTGTTAGCTAAACTGTTTGTATCAATACTTTCTCCGGGGATTTCTAGCATAAAAGGACAAGAAATATGAGTTTTGTTAAGAAGTAGGGCAACCAGTGCCAACGGGTAGATACGATCTCTACAGGTCAGACATTTGATACAGAACTGCAAGTCATATAATCCAAATAATATTATAACATTATATATATCTATTATATTATATTGACTTTCCGAGCCTATAGAAAAACTAGGAGTGTAATTAGAATAAAATAATAATCATTATATTTATAGAAAGGGTTAGATGTGCCCCAAGCTTATCCTAGCTGACTAGCTCTAATCTCTGTTTGAGGTGTTAGAGTAGAGCGGTCGGCTGGCTGTATATAATCTTGAGGAGTGCTCTACAGCAAGCAATGAAAGCAGTAATGAATGGAACAGACACGAAGCAAAAAAGCAAGTTAAATTAAGCTATCTAAAAGAGTAAAATAAAGTAATATAAAAGATGCTTTATATAGGCGGTCTAATCATAATGTATAATTAACTTACATAAATATTTTAATACAGCCTCCTAGACAAGTATATAGAAAGATATTAAATATTAAGTAAAATCATAAGTATTTTTTAAATAAGTAATTTTTTATATATGTGATAGGATCTACTTGTCAGGGTAGAAAACCTGTTAACTAGGTAAGGAATCAGCTATTAAATATTATATATTTATATAATATTAATAAAGATAGCTTATATCTATAAAATAAATTAATTTTAAGAAATTAGTAATATATTACAGAGGAATCAGTATCTTATATATATTAAAAAATATAAGATTATTATTAATAATCTCATAATTCTTATAACTACTATAATATATTATTATAATAGAATGACCTAGTTATCAGGGCCTTGGGCATCAGAATGATATATTACAGTAATTATAAGAGTTATAAGATTATCAATAGAGATTCTATATCTCTTTAAAATTTATAAAATACTGATTTTTTTATAATAAGCTACTGATTTCTCAAGAATCAGTCTATTTTATAAATATAAATTATCTTTATTTTTATTAGATTAATTTATTATATTTTATAGCTGATTTTTTATCTAGTTAACAGGCTTTTTATCTTAATAAATAAATTCTATTATATTCTGATTCTTTATATTTTAATTATCTAAGAAAGATATTACTTCTTAAAAATAATAAAAAAAGAGAAATATTTAATAATTATATTAATTTAAAATTATTATTAAATACTGTTCCCACTGCTGAGAAAATCTAATAATTAAAAAATTATATTTATTAATTAAAATAAATTATTAATTTATAAAAAAAAATAACTTATTTCTAAAAAAATAATTCTCCAGATAAGATCTTTTTTAAATATTATTAATCTTTTTTTAAATTAAAAAAAAATAAAAAAAAATTAAATTTAAAGATATTTCCTGCTTTATCTTAAACTTTAATTTTTAAAAATATTAAGAATAGATTACTAATCTGGAATATATAATTTAAAAAAAATTTTAAAATTTTTTTAAGAAATATAAGATACTTACTGTTATTAATTATATAAATTTTATATATAAATAAAAATAATATTATTTTATTAATAATAAGAGTCTAGAAGTAAAATAATTCCTTAAAAAATTATAATTTTAATTTAAGAATTAGATTTTTATTCTAATCTAGAATATTATTATTTTTTAATCTGATATTATAACTTAATTTAAACAGACTTATTAATAATATAATTAAAATTTAAAAGAGTTTTATACTTATTTTAATATTTTAAAATAATATTTTTTTATTAAATAAAAAAAGAAAAATTTTTATTATATTTTATTAAATTATTATTTAATTTTAATTATTATATTTATAAACATGTCTCTTATTTACCAGAAAAATAAGATAAAATAATAATTATTATTATTTATTATTATAAATTATAAAATAATAGATGGAAATATAAATAAAATAATAATTAATTTAATAATTATAAATTATATAAATATCTTTAAGATTATTCTAATAAATTAACTAAAAAAGATATATTAAACTGTAAGAAATATGACGGCGAGTGACATCTCAGGGTCATGTGACTTCTGTTTTATTTGCTTTATTTACTGTCTTGCATAGCTTACTTATCTTTATATAATAATATATTCTCCCTGAGCTTCTTCCTTTCTTTTTTTATACTAGAAATTCTTATTAAATAATATTAAATTTAATTATTTAATCAGCTTTTATATAATTTCTAATATTATTTTATCTTCTATTTTTTAAATTAATATTATATATTACTAGCTATCTAGCTTAGTAGTCAGTATTATTTTTTATATATATTTAATAATATTAAATACAGTTAAAACAGAATAATTTAACTAAAATCTAAACTAGAATAATTAGTAAGAATACTTATAATAATTAAAGAAAATTATACTGAATTAATATTAAGTACTGTAAATTCTTAATAATATTTAATAATTTTATTAAAAGAAGAGTCTGATAATAAAAAAAATATTATTTATAATTAATTCTATAAATTATATATAAAGAATTCTAATAAAATCTTTAATATAATTTTTTATATTATAAAAAAAATAAAAATA